CATGCAGATCTGGGCATATGCCCCAGTCAGACTAAAAAAAAAAAAAATCTGTTTATGTGATACACACACACAAACATGTTTAAGTAATTGACTCTAACTCTACTTTCATGAAAAATTGAGAGTAGATGTAAAGGTATAGGTAAACTATCAGTATTAACAAGTTATTTTTTAATTAGCTGCTGTGTAAAAGGACAATTGATGTTTTACAAGGCAATTTCTATGTTTCTACCATCCATTCTCTACAATACTGCCAGAGTGATCCTTTTAAAGTAAATCTGATTATTCCTTTGGTCTCACTCTTCATGGCAACACATTCAAATAAAATCCAAAGTCCAATCATGGCTTACCAGATGGTACATAATCTAGCTCCTTGGCTGTGTTTTTCATCTTATTTGTCTAATTTGCTAGCCACTCTGATCTCTTTGCTTCTCCATTCCAAACAAATCCCTATGTCAAGGCACTGCATTTACTGTTTCTTTTCTCGAATAGTTTCTCTCTAGAAATTCACTTAGCTTCCTTTCTCATTAAATGATTATGTTTTTGCTTATGTGCTGCTTCTGCTAAGAGGCCTTTCTTGTCCACCCTAACTAAAAGAGAATCTCTGCATTACTCTTATCCCTTTATCCTGATTTATTTTTCCATAAAACCACATAAACTGGCATGATTATTTAGGAATATGTGTATTACTTGTCAATCTTCCCCCAAATAATACCAGCTCTATGAAATAGCACCTTTGTTTTGCTCACTACTGAATTCCCAGCACCTAGTACAGTGTCTGCTCATTAAATATTTGTCAATGAGCAAATAAGTATATTTTCAGGATACATCAATTATAAAATATCGCATATTTATTTAAATGATGCATAGGAAAATGAATGGAATGGTATAAGTCAAAATTTAACTATTTAATATGGCGAGGCGGTTTTCGCAACTTTTGCTCATGAGTTTTCTTTCTTTTTTAACAAGCAACTTGTATTACATATTAAAAAAAGAAGAAGAAGAAAAAAAATAAATATGGGGGCCTATAGGTAGAAGTGTAATTGAATTCTAAGAGGTTGGGCAAATGTATCAGAGACATACTTCTGAATAAATAATATTTGGTTAAGATAAACCATGGTTGGAAGCCCCTGTGCCAACACTTCCTAGCAGTGTGATTCCAAGTTACAAATATGCCAATGCTTGATTATCTTTACCTGGAAAATGGGGGAAATAATGCCTATATCATAAAGTTGCTTTAAATGAGACCATATATGTAACCTGCTTTGTACAAATGCTTGGCATGCAATAAATCCTCAACAAATAGTAGTTACTATAATAACCACTGGTAGTAGTAATAAGAGATGTTGGGACATACCTAGCCCTCAAGATTGACATCAGAGTGGACCACCACATCCTCTCATCATTGCACCTCCATTTGGGCCTCTGAATCCCAAAGAGGGGATGGTTCTTTCCAAAGAAGACAATTTCGACGTTGCAGAAGCATCTAAAGGAAACGTGCCCTCTTCAACCCTGGAGCCATTCAGTCTGATCAATCCAAGAGCTGCACTGAGGGGCTGGGGCTGGAGTGGCGGCCCGCTTCGCGGTCCTGGAGCCCGGTGCCTCAGCCTCAATTTCCTTGGCTGCAACTGGGGTGGGAGTGGGAATGTTAACACAAAACCCAGACTGCACCAGTCGGGCCTGTCTCACCCCGCTCCGGAGGGGACCAAACGGCACCACGAACAGGAAGCCTCTGGCGCCGGACCACGCGCCACTCGGGAAAAGTGATTATTGCTTAGATTCAACAGTCAGGCAAACGTCTCAGCCCCATCTTCCCAGTCCTCAAGCA